TAACATGCTTTTGTAATGTTCACCGACTTTTTAAAAGATGACATTTTTGTAAGGTTTTAGTATGCTTGTAAATCGATGTCTATATGTAAGATTAAATGTATATTGACATGTGAAAACGTTAGGTTTTCGTTAATATATGACTTGTTTATATAATTGGATGATAGTAAAAATACACACACACACACACACACACACACACATATATATATATATATATATATATATATATAGTAGGATCAAATGAGAAGACCAAAAATGTTGAGAACGCGAGAACAAAGTATATTCATTTGTGATTCCATGTATTCATTTGTGGAGAAATGATAAATTTTTAATTGGGATGAAGTTGTATTGCTTTTTCTCTTCAATTGAAATTAAAGGCGTAAAAATTTATATATATATATATATATATATATTATATATTATATATATATATATATATATATATATATATATATATATATATATATAATTTTTTATTGTCTTGTCACGTTTTGAGAAGGGATAATGACTTAAAAGGGTAATATATTTTTCGATTTATACACATTTGGTCACTAAGTTTTTTTTCCGTCCACATTTACCTCTTCAACTTGTTAAACTGTACACATTCGGTCCTTATTACCGACTACTCCAGGTTAGACGCTAAAAATAACTTAATAGGGTAATATATTTCTCACTTTGTACACATTTAGTCCTTAATATTTTTGTACAGATTTAGTCCTTAATATTTTTGTACACATTTAGTCATTAATATTTTCTTTGTTGCAAAATAAGTATTTTTTTTGTATTCATTCAGTACTTATGAATGATTTTTTTAGGTTTTTCTTACGGCATCTTAAGTGGACAATCATTAATGAGATGTTCAGGGCTTTTGATGCTTATGTCCATTGTGATCTCGACTACTTGGTTTTCGTTTAGATTACTCCCGTTAAAAAGTAATATATTTTTACGTACGATCTTTATATCAATATGTTTTTATGAATGCATGTATGAGCGGTTTTTTTTTTTTTTTTTTTTTTATAAAATCGTAAGTAAAAATATATTATATTTTAATGAGAGTAATCTTAATGAAAGTTGTAGTAGACTCAAAAAAACGAACACACGGATATAAAAATCGTTAAAATCTGATATCGTATGAAGAAGTTACTACGTTCAAAACACAAGAGCTAAGGCAAACCACAAAACCTACGCAACCAAACAGTCGAGATTGCGATGGACATAAGCCTCTACAGCCCCACACACCTCATCAATGATTGGACCACGTAAGATGTCGTGAGAAAAAAAACTAAAGAAATCGTTCATAAGTACTGAATGAGTACAAAAACAAAAAATGACTTATTTTGAAATAAAAAAATATGAAGGCCTAAATATGTACACAAATATTAAGGACTAAATGTGTACAAAATGAAAAATATATTACTATATTAAGTTATTTTTCCCAGCTAACCTGGAGTAACCGGTCATAAGGACGAAATGTGTACAGTTTAACAAATTGAAGGGGTAATGTTGACGAAAAAAAGACTTAATAATCAGATATATACAAATTGAAAAATATATTACCAGTGATTATTGTAATGAAAAACGGAGTCTCACAAGGTTTGAAGCTCAGCTATACCACCAAGTCATACCTTAAGATTATTTGCAACAATTGTCCTTTGAGTTTGGTGCTGAAGTGTAAATAAGTCAACAGTCATATGGTCTTCCATAGAAAACCCAATTCACGACGTTACTCGCATCGGACATCATTTCTTAACAGTTTCTTGCCGTTTTCTCTCTCTAAAAACACGTACAAACACAAACACACACAAACACTCTCTTTCTCTCTCTAAATCCCCCAATTTTTTTTATCAAACGAGGAGAGAGAGAGAGAGAGAGAGGGTGAGAGAAAGAGAAAGATATGTCCGACGCTTTAATCAATGGACTCGCCGGCGCAGGTGGTGGAATCATCGCTCAGCTCATCACTTATCCTCTCCAAACTGTAAGTAATTTTGATCTTCGTGTAGATTAATTTTTTTGCCGATCGATATTTTCTGATTGACTAATCATAGGTAAACACGCGTCAACAAACCGATAGAGATCCGAAGAAAGAGAAGAAAAAGGCGGGGACGGTTGAACAGATGTATCAGGTAATCCTCTTGCTTAGTTTTCAACTTAATTGTATTTAGGAGTTTAACTGTGATTTTAATGGAGTGATTCTGTTGATCATTTTAGGTTGTTCAGCAAGAAGGGTGGGGCCGACTATACGGTGGCTTGGCGCCCTCGCTGGTAGGCACGGCATGTTCACAGGTGAACTCATAATCTCTTCTTCAAAGCAGGAAGGATAATATTGGAATTAGGAATTAGGATTATGGTTTTAGTTCATGCTCACCTCTGTTCTGCTGTCATTGAATTGCGGGAAGAGATAGACGAAAACCTTAACGTGCTATCTGATCTTTCCAAGCAATTGTAAAATGACAATTTTAAAATTGGGTTGTTTTATGTTTACATCATATCTCATCACAATCACTTTCTGTAAAATAAATTCAGTTTATGTACATTTCTATTAGAAAAAAGCCAAATATATCGTGGTCGCTTTTTTGAAGGTCAATTTTTTGATTTTTACGTATTCACATGAAGCAACCTAAATTCTGGTAATGGAATTTATATAGTGGATATCAAGTGGTCCCACTGCAATGGAAAACGTGCCATCTTAATGCATACTGTGATGTGGGTTTGTTTATCACTAGGCCCATTCTTTTCTTGAAATCCTATGTTGTTATCATTATTGTTTTTGTTTTCATTTGAAGACGTATCCATGATTAGACCTTTGATCGGTTTGTTCCATACTTCCTCTTTTTGGATCTATGGATCATTACAATTGCAATTACAGAACTATTTTCGCTTGCAAATAGATACTAAATTGTAGATACACAGGGTGAGTTTTTCAACTCATTGAAAAATTCTGAATTTAGTCTTGTAAATATCTCTAATTCCTGTGATCCTATTTTGTATGGTTTTACAGGGTGTTTACTATTATTTCTATCAAATATTCAGGAGCAAGGCTGAAGCTACAGCACTTAGACGTAAAAAGGAAGGAGCTGGTGATGGATCAGTTGGGATGCTTTCATCACTCATGGTGGCTGCTATGTCCGGGTATTTGAAACTTGTATTTTAAAACATTTTCTCTCTTTCTTTCTTCATGAATCATATTCAATTTATTTGATTTTAATTTTTAAAAAAATGTCTTGTCTTTTAGGTGTGTGAATGTGCTGCTAACAAATCCTATATGGGTAGTAGTTACCCGTATGCAGGTGAGGATCTATATCTTTCCTTCTAGATTTTCTTTAAATTGCTAGAGCAAAAACCAAGAATTAAAAAAAAAAAAAAAAAAATTCATTCGTTCATATAATAAGTTATAAATCTACTTTTGCAGACTCACACAAAGAAATCTCCATCAAACAAGGTGGAACCAATTGTTGGAGGAAACGAACCACCTCCTTTTGGAACCAGCAATGCGGTATGTATTAATCCTTAATCTTATGAAACTAAGGTAGTTCTTTAGAACAATGGAATCATGGAAAGAATGGAATAGCTCATTCCGAAGGTTGTTGTAGGTTCTAGAAGTCTTTGATGAAGCTGGAGTCTGGGGATTCTGGAAAGGCGTTTTCCCAACATTGGTTATGGTACGTGTCAATTATCTCTTGTCCATGCACTGTGTACGATTGTCACTTTTGCCCCTATCTGCTTCTGCCAGGTCAGCAATCCTTCCATACAGTTTATGCTGTACGAGACCCTACTAAAGAATTTAAAGCAACGTCGCTCTTTGAGCAACAGTAACAAAGGTGTAACTGCTTTAGAGGCAAGTAGTTGAATAAACCTCTAAATTTTCTTATAACCATATAAAAATTAATATTAATGTATTGTGATTCGTAATATTTTAGGTATTTTTGCTTGGGGCATTGGCAAAACTTGGAGCTACAGTTGTAACATATCCTCTTTTAGTTGTAAAGGTAAGTACTTTGAGGCTCTATATACAAAAAAAAAATAAAAAATTACATTTCCCAATTAATAAATACTTTTTTTTTGTAGTCGAGACTTCAAGCAAAGCAAGCGATTGGGGTAGACAAAAAGCATCAGTATAAAGGTATGTGAGTTAATGAGAGACAAAAAAAGAAGAAGAAGGTTGTTAGTTCTTACCTACATGATGTGTTTTCCATTAGGCACACTGGATGCAATATTAAAGATGATACGATATGAAGGGTTCCATGGTTTTTACAAAGGAATGAGCACTAAGATAGTGCAAAGTGTTCTTGCTGCTGCTGTTTTGTTCATGGTAAAGGAAGAACTTGTGAATGGAGCTCGATGGTTGCTGTTGAAGGAAGCAGCTAAATCCAAACCCTCATGACCACTGGTGCTTCTCAAATAAAATACACTTCCAAAATTGCCCCTCCCCCCTTTTTTCATTGAAAGAATTATTAGCAAGGAAGTAATGATGATTGTTAGTTATATTTGAATGTATGGTGTATCGTTCAGTGGATAATTCATAATTGTATGGTATTGGTGTAAAAGATGATGTTATAAAGTGTCATGAGATTGGTGTTGTGAGGTCAAATCTTGTATTAGCCCCACCTTTCTTATCCTTTCATATGTTGTTCCAGTTGTAGTAATGTAATTTTTCATTTGTTGTTCCAGTTGCGAGGTCAATAATTAAATTGAAATGTTGATGAAGAAAAAGCTATCAAAGACGAATTGCTTTTAGATAAATGATTCTAATGAAACTTTTTAAAAGTGGAATGATTTGGTATGTATGGAAAAAAATAAAATAAATAATGTTGTAAAAGTCTCATATGCTTCAACTATCCAAAGATCCTTTAAAAAACAAGATAAATCAAAATATAAATGGCCATTTTATGAACTTACATGAGTAATTGCATTATGTCTTTTTTCTACTGTTAGATTCTTGATCATGCTTTTGTGGTCCATAACCTAAAAGTTATTTTTGGAGGGCTTAATGTGTACTTTTCAATATATGTTGACCGGTTTGTTGTAAATTCTCGTTGGGTTTCCATTTACTACCGGATGCAGCAGTAAATAAACCCCAAATCCAGATTTTCAGACAAACCCTAGAGAGTCTGAATCGTAAAAACAGGAAAAGGAATCGGAGATGACGACCACCGACGGCACCATCGCCAACTCCGCTACCAAAAACCCTAAAAAGGCCAATCTCTTGGATCATCACTCCATCAAGTACTTACTCGATGAATCTGTATCCGAGGTACACCACAACTTCATTTCCGCACATCTCGAATCAAAATTCGCTAATTCTTTTTGTATGCTTAAGGATTTTATAATCGTTTTTGGATTTATTTGTGTTTTAGATCGTGGCAAGCCGCGGTTACAGTGAAGATGTTAGACTGAGTAATGTTCGATTGTTGATTGGTGCGATCGTTATCATTATCGCCCTGTTTGCTCAGTTTTACAACAAGAAGTTCCCTGATAATAAAAATTATCTCATCGGGTGCATTGGATTATATCCTTTTTGATCTGTAGTTTTTGGATGCATTATGTTTCAAAATAAGTAACTGAAACTTCCTATATGCTCACATTTGCTTTTTTTTTTTTTTTTTTTTCCTTTTTTTATGCATGATGAATCCATTATACTGTCACTTTTTCAAAATTGAGTGTGTTTAATCCTTGACTGTTGCAAGTATGTGATATTCAACGGGATATTGCAGCTGATCATCTACACCAAGGAAAAGAACGCAATTTTGTTTACATATCCTCCAGCAGTAAGTTTCTTTTCTCTTTTTCAGTTATAATTGAAACCCTTTGTTCTAGCGAGATTATTCATAGACAACAGTTCAATCTACTTTTGAATTTTATAGATGGTGTATTACTTCAATTGTTCATTGCTTAGTTATATCCTTGCATCAGAATCAAACATCTATAACATCTCTTTCTATAAAGGTTTTATTATCTCATTATGTAATATTTTGACAGGGGTCTGCTTACAAGAGCACTGGGTTGATGATATCTTCAAAGTTGCCCAGATTCTCTGATATGTATACACTTACCATAGCCAGTGCAGATCCCAAATCTATTTCTGCAAACCCAACAGTGGAGTTCACCAAAAGTGTTACAAAATGGTCTCTCTCTTAATCTCATATACCTTATGCAAGTGCTGTAGTACAATTACAGTTTTGCCCTATTATCTGTTTCTAAAGGTAGATGGATGTTTTGCAGGTTTACAAAGGATGGAGTGTTGGTGGAGGGTCTTTTCTGGAAAGATGTTGAGGGGCTGGTGAACCAGTATGCCAAAGAACACAAGAAAAGTAAGTAAATTTAAGTTTAGAAATTGAAGAAAAGTAGTAATGGTGCGGCTGATGATACTTGTTTTTTTTTTTTTTTTTAATATCTAAAGATGAAAGCTTGAACCTTATGATATTGAAAAAATGTTGGACAAACGCATTTGAGCTTTAACTTTCATATAATTTTAGTGAAATGGGGAATAATATATGACATTTGAGGATGCTTTATATTTCTATGTGGGTATATGGTCACAAAAAATTGGTCCTATCATTATATTCAAAGTTTGATTTCATAAAAGAAAATTGCTCATGTGGTAAGCAACTACAGTTCCAATGTCATTTTCATCATCAGTCACTATTTTGTATCGTGGGATTGTATTAGTTGGATGACCTTTTTACGTTCTTTGTTTTTGGTGTAAATTCAACATATTTTCATAACTTTTTACAGATAAGATTTCGTGAAATTGTTATCAGGTAGTAAGTTTGTTTTCTGTATGCCATTTATCCTTTTAGAAAGAGTTAAGTCGTGATACAGCAAGATGGTGTATTTTTATGCGTAATTCATTGAACACAATAAAGAGGTGATTTGAATTTATCATTTAAGTTATTCTAAGGAGTTTGTCATTTGGATAAAACTCATTCAGAATTTTGTTGTGATTGGTCATATGTTATTGGGTGTCGTTCACAAATAGAAATGAAAAGCCCTACAATCGAGGTTTTTGGAAATTTAAAAAGGACGAAATAAACCCTATTTAATCCTTATTCTAACAAAAGAATAGTTTTAATCTCTTTTTGACATGTGTCATCATATTAGGTCTCCTAATTAATGCATGTCACTTGTCAAACTATTAATTCTTCATTTCAATTTTCAAAATTTAAATTTTCCATTCTAATTACATTAAATTAATAACATTAGAATAAAAATTAAAATAAAATAAATACAAATTATAAGGTTATATAATTTCACGTATTTATTTAAATTAACGATTATAATTTTATATAACTAAAAAAAAATCTCTTAATTAATAATTTATTTAAAATAATAGATTAATAATTTTGAGTTCTCACTATGAAACTTTAATTAATTTTGTAACCGTGGTTCCCACGGGTTATAAACTAGTAACATATATTTTAAAATTTTGATAAATGTATTTTATCAAAAATAGTAATAGTATTTTGTAGTTATTATGAAATAATAATTCTTACGTATTATTTTTAGAATGACTTGAACACCCAACATTTAGCTGGAAAACATCTATCCGTTGACTTAAAATCATATCATCTTAATACACTTTACCGATGGTTTGTGCATGATTTTATTTATTTACTAGGCGTAACCTCGCGCCTTGCGCAAGAATGCATTTAAGTTGTTAAAATAATTATAGGAAAAATATAGAAATATGTTGAAATTTACGTTTTTAGTCATGTTATGGGCATTAACCGAATTATCAAATAACATAAAAATCCATCAACATATATTTTGATACTATCTAATATAGTCCTTACGTTATAAACTTTACTTTTACTTTTATAATACTCCCTCCTTCCCAAAATTATAGTCTATCTTTCCTTTTTGGTTTGTCCCAAAATAATAGTCAACTTCTAAAAATAAATAACATTTTTACCAAAATACCCTTTAATTATTACTTAACCAACTAAGTATTTAATGGAACATTAAATGCAAAGTAAGGACAATACTGTCATTTTATTATATAAAGTTAGTGGTAATTAATGTTTCCTTAATCAATGTGTTTTTTGTCTGTGGACTATAATTTTGGGACGGAGGGAGTATCTAATATATATTATAAGTTTTTGTATAACATTAATATAATCTACTTTTCTTATGTCCGATAATATTTTTTGGATAAAATAAGAAATAAGTTGTTTTGAATGAGCTATTAATAAACAATATTGAACTAATAAACTTTGTATTACACTATTTATATTACACCAAAACATCCAATGTTTCATATATGAACTTTCAAATATTAAACATTGAAATTAAGAATGAAGTCATACAAAATATATCATTATACATAAATGTCATCAAGAGTTTTAAAATAAGTTGATTAGTAAATATAATATTTAATTTTAATTACATATGTTGTAAGGCGTACGTTTGACTTTATGTTGGTGCGCCGAGAATCCTCTTCCTTAATTTGTACCTAAAAAATTAAGGTGAATAGGAATATAAAATAGATATTACTAAGCATTAATATAAATAATTAAAAAGGGTATGTGGATCTCCTGCCACCGGTTAAAGACAACATACCTCTCTAGTGGTATCGATTCCTATGTAAAATTGAAGTAGTCATTCTATGTACACCTTGTTTTTTAATTACATAAACAAATATGAGTAACCAAACATAAAAATGTTATCTTTATGTAGAAAAAATATGTTAGTTAACTAACAAATTAAATAATATAAGTTTAAGAGTTAGGAGTTTTAAAACATTAATATTTTTATTAATCAATCAATTAAGTAACACATGTTGAAATTTTTACAATCATTATTAAAAAACATTTTAAGATGGAAAGTATAACATATGTATGAGTTTTAATTAATTATCTTTTTGAAACGGTACAATTACAAAACAAAAAAACATATTTAAAATATTTAATTAAATATTTTCGACATCACCCTATATAACATATGATCAATATATTAACGATTAAACCATAATATACAACGACTGTATTACAATAATAAAAAAACGAAGAAAATATAAAAACGAATTAGTATAACAAACTTACAAATTAAAAGCTCTAATATAATAACATATCTCCAAAAGTGGTCATAAGACCTCAACCCAACACAAAAACCTTTAAGTTTGTTTTCTTTCTGAAATTTGTATATGATTTGTATGCATGTCTTCCCAAAAGATTGACATTTTTATAGTAAACTTTTCACTAAATGCTAATTAAACATAATATAAGTTATAAAACTTTTGAGTGTCAAATCATAATTAAGAAAACTTTGAGTTGCATTAGTTAAAAAATAGGGTTTCAAACGAATGTGGTTTGAAGAAGTTAAAAAAGGAGGTTTCAAATGCATGAGATTCAAGAAAAAATGATAGTTTTATAAGTATGTATGATTATTATTGTTTTAACTATTAAGATATGGATGGAAAAAAAAACTTCATACATGACGGGAAACCTAAAATCCATACCTGGTTTGACTAGGGACCTCCCAACTTACGGGGAATCCTCAAATAGTGTCTGACCTTGTCCCGGAAACCAGTAAATATTAATATGTAAAAATAATATAAAACATATAGTTATAGTAACATTTAGAATACTTCAATTATGATCTAGATATCCATACTTATTAGTAATTATTTAGTTAAAATTATATTCTTTTATTCGTTTATCTAGTTTAGTCTCATATATAAGTTTGTTCTCTTTGGTTTATCTATTTTTATCTTAAATGTCATTATGATATTCTATTCAATGTTTATTCTTTATTACTTTTCATGTTTATTTTGTTCATGTTTATTATTCTTGTGTAAAATATTGTGTCTTGTATATATGATCGATTGAATCTTCCTCTACTAATAAAAGAATAGTTATCAGTGTCCTTTGTCATTTTCTCATAATTTAGGTTTTATTTTCAAATACTCTATAGAAATGACATTTGCCATTTTCTCAACATTTTTTATCTTCTAAAAAATATTGATGTTAATAATAAGTTAGGCAACTATTTATTTAATCCCTGATTTTTAGGTGACATTTAAATTCGTTTTGAATAAGTTTCGGTTATGATTACCGACAATTAATTGTATTTCTATATTAAAAATCCTACAAAATCATCTTTAATTAATAATTTATTGAAAATAATTTATTAATAATTATGAGTTTTACTATAAAAATTTAATTATTTTTGTAACTGTGGTTCCCACAGGCTATAACCTAATACATAAGATATATAAAGACTACATAATTACACTTTGTACCCTTCTAATACTAGTCTATATCATAACTGTCTATTGTTCCCCCGCAAGCTAAGGCCGGGTAACCACTTACAGCTTGGACCGTAAATCAGCAAATCGTTGAGAAGATAAAGGCTTTGTAAAGATGTCTGCAATCTGATCATGTGTGGAAATAAATTGTACGGAAAGTTTCCCCGCAGCTACCTTTTCTCTAAAAAAATGAAAATCAACTTCAACATGTTTTGTACGAGCATGAAAGACAGGATTTGCTGACAAGTATGTGGCACCCAAATTGTCACACCACAAAATCAGGACTGATGGCATAAAGACCTTGAGTTCTCTAAGAAGAGCTTCAAGCCAGGTGAGTTCAACTTCAGTGTCAGCTAAGGCTTTGTATTCCGATTCTGTTGATGAGCGAGAGACAGTTCGTTGTTTCCTAGTTGACCAAGAGATGAGATTGTTCCTAAGATATATGACATACCCCCCGGTGGATCGACGGTCATCTGGACAATCAGCTTAGTCTGCATCCGAGAAGGTAGTCAAGGAGGAAGCATGAGAGTCGTTGTAGGCATGAAGAACCGATCCCGAGTTATGTTGAATAAGAAGACCACAAATAGATGTACCCTTAAGATATCGAAGTATTCATTTCACAACAGACCAATGATTTTCAGTGGGAGAGTGCATGAGCTGGCAAACTTTGTTAACAACAAATGTAACGCCAGGGCGAGATAAGGTGATATACTGAAGGGCACCAACAAGTCGACGGTATTTTACCGGATTGTCAAACAAAGGGCTGTCACCAAGAGATAAATTAGTTGTGGTAGTAATCGGAGATGGCATCGGTTTTGCATGTGAAAGATTCGCCCACTGAAGCAGTTCCAATATATATTTCTTTTGAGACAGAATGACATCCCGATTCTGTCTAATCACCTCAATGCCCAAAAAATATGAAAGGGAACCGAAATCTTGAATCGCAAATGTGTGACTGAGATTCTTGATGATCTGATCGATGACACTAGGGTTGTTACTTGTAAGAATGATATCATCGACATACACCAACATGTATAAAAGAGTGTCCTTAGATGAAAAAAATAAAAATAGTGGGATTAGTTGTGGGTCCTTTAAAACCGATAGCATGTAAGGCTTTGGTTAATCGATGAAACCATGCACGAGGCGCCTGCTTCAGTCCGTAGAGAGATTTGTGAAGTAAACTGTAACGCCCGTAGATCCGGGCTAGTCAATT